AGGATTTTGCAGGTCAGCCTTTCCTACCATTGTTAGGGGGCTAAGGATCTCCAGTGTGTCTGGGCAAAGATGGGGAGGCATGAAACCATCCTGCATCCTTCACAAAGGCAACCCGTTAGTCTTCCTGGCACAGCAAATGTTCCTTTTCCTCTTTATTTCTTCCCACAACCCTCCCAGGCCATGCTAACCAGGTCACAGAACTGATTGCCAGCTCCCCGGGCACATAATCCTCCTGCACCAGCCAAGGTCTTCCACAAGTTTCTGGGGAGCTAAAGGGAGGGATGAGCTTTCTGATCTGTTCATACCTTCTTTACTGTAAAAGGAAGCCAGTTTGACTGGGGTTGTCAGACACTGTGAAAACAATTAACACAGCCATCAGCTCCCACCTTTGCATTTCATCCCTGGGTGTTAAACGAAGGAGGTGAGCAACTTCACAGAATGCAAAGACTTTCTACGCTACTAAGACATGACAGCCTGCAATAGCCATAGCTTGGAAACAACACAGGCAACAGCCACCATTTTTTTTTAAGCCTGAATGAGCTCAGCTGTGCCCTACCTGGCAGGACCTGCAGGAAAGGTAATGCTCCTGTTGATCAGAGGAGTCTGGAACAGTCCCTCTGTGGAGCAAGAAGATGCTGCGCAGCAATATAGCATGGTGCAAAAATCTGGTCAGCAAGGGGCAATTCTGGCAGGCACTGGTATATGAAGGTTTTAGGGAGGATGTCTGTATTTTCATGTCCATTACTACAACCAGACACTGCCAAAATCCTATAGCCCTGATCCAGCAGAAATCCCTGCAGAAAGGGCCCTGAAATCTCTACGGCCAGGTAACACCTGAGGTGGGAACGGAAAATAATGCTCTAAGCAAAAGCAGGGCAAGTCAGGTCTGCTTTACTCCAGGAATGAAGCAGATTCTTCTCCACAGATAAGAAAATAAGAGTTACCTACCATCTACCCCATACAGCTTGACCCTGGGCTCCCATTTCAGAAGACACATAAGGGTTCAGAGCAAGATCTGGGGCTCTCTCTCCAAATTAACCTTTTGGAGAGCGATTTTGCTGCCATTCAAGCACAGATATTAAATATACCCTGTTTAAAGGCACAGTGCATTGTGCAATATATTCCAGATTAGTATGTAAAAAGCCTAATTTTTCCAAAGACAACTGTTTATTTTACAAGTCCTCAGTTGTTACCCTGACTTTTCTGCACAGGGTAGCAGAAACTGGAAGGGACTTGTCTGGATTAAAGCAGCAACAGCTTGCTTCCCACAGATTCAAAATTATGCTCTTCCCTTGTACATATGTAACAGCCGCCATCCGACTCCTTATGGTGATTCCCAGCTGGTACCAGCAGCCCCAAAAGGCCATTTTAAACAGATGTTGCGTTGCGTCCACCCTCCCCCTGATCCCAGTTCAGAGCCTCAGAGAATGTTAGGTTCCATTAACCAGACTGTTTGCCACCTGAAGTCCCAACCAACAAACTCTCCTGTACCTGCAGCACCCAAAATGTCCCCATAAGTCCCTCCCCTGCTAATGCTCACACTGCTGTGCAAGAGCCTGCTTTAGAAAACGCCAAGCCAGTCTTACGGTGCTATGCCAGGAGGCTGCAAGTTCAAAGTCCTGAGCAGCACCTCGGAGCAGAGTTCAGAAACACTTTATTATCACTCCATCACAGAGTTCCCCGCACTGCCCGGCAACTCCAAATGAGCCCTCTATAGCAATAACGGTTAGCTCCACAGGACCACTAAGGTTTCATTAATATTCATGTCCCATTGATACTCAAGCAAGCAATGAAAGCTTGCTTTCTACAGCAGATCATTAAGCGAGGGGAAATGAGTGACCTCTTAAGACCAGCTGCGTCACAGATGTCACCAGGAGCTGAAGGGACAGAGACAGGGTCATCACCCGGCACTTCTTTTAATAAATAACAATTCTAAATGAGCACAGCCTTGCTGTACCCAGTGAAACCCACATGAGACTGAAAGCATCTGGGAAGCGGATGCCTGAACTGAGAGCTGGGCAGGCCAGTGCCTCCTCTCAGCAACCCTGCCCTGGAGAGGCTGGAAAATGGGATGCTGCTGTGCAGCAGGGAATTGAGGAACGCAACATCTCACCAAGCAGAACAGGTCTGTAATTCTGAAATAAATCACGGTGTTTTGGGCACAGTTAGCCCAGTTCAGTGGGAACACTCTCAGCCTGCGGAGCCCAGACACGCTTACCTCCCTCTCCAAGCCATTTATGTTTTTGAGCATCCCAGCGCTTCCTCAAAGCATCTCAGCTCAGGGTACTTAGCAGAGAGCTTCCCAAGGCAGCAGTTACAACACTCCACATAGCAGAGACTTGATCTCAGATTACAGACCCTAATTGCTGCTATCAGTCAGAGTAACAATTAGTATCAGGTTAATCCATTCCCAGTGCTCTCAGGAGAGGATGGGGAAAGAAAAAGGAGTCTTAGTCCCAGTTTACCTTGAGTTCACTGAGAGGCCACAGGAAAGCAACTCACAGGCAAACTTCCCAGGCACCCAGTTTCCCCACGATATTCACCACCTCTGAAACACTCAAAGCAGCACAGAAAAAAAATAAGCTCCCCCAGCCCTCCTAGTCTGAGCTGACAACTGCACTACCTCTACATTTCCACAGAAAAAAAGCAAATGGAAGATCACATCTCACCCAGAAAGAGCTGCCCTCCCTGCTTTGAGAAGCCATCAACATCACCCACAGCCTCTCCCTTTTTTAGCTCCTTCCTTGACTCCTGACACCAAACTCATGCATCAGGTGTGCACCAGACACAGCAGATTCAGCCTCTTAACTCCTTCATAACTCTTATCTCCATACACCCACACTATTGAGACTATAAACAGTGCAACAGGCCACATGCAAGCAACCAAACTCATGTAACCCCTCCAGACATGGCTGCGCGCTGAGCTGCTTCTTTCTGTGGGGATTTGCAGCACACACTACTTCTGAAAAATTTTGCTACCCGACTCTTTACAACCTTTACAAAGTCTGAAGTCATCCCAAACCCACAAGATTTATTTCTAAAAGTACTTGCCAGACCCGCAAGCTTATACAATTAAGAAGTCACCCGTGTTTATCGTTTTCCTCCCAAAAAGCGATTGCCCAAGGACCAGGACAGACCATATTCAAACTCAGAAAAGCAGGATGAGCTTTGTGTACTGCTCAGCCCATTTAAACCAACTCAAAAGATTGGAGAAGAGCAAAAAGCCCTTACAAAGCCAGGGAAGCAACATATTGACTGCCGCAAAGGGTTGCCCCATGAGCACTACTGCCCAAAGCATCCTACAGCTGGGACCAAGGGACAGAAAGGTGTATGGGCACAGGGCTACAGCACCCAGAGCTGTGAGGAAACCCAGCAGGGCCCCAGCCCCAGCGCAGCCCAGGGGCCCCTCTCCCTACACCCAGAGAGGCAGACGCACCCCAGGACCAGGAGCCTCATCCCCAAGAAATCCGCTGGAACTGGGTGCTGCAATCAGCCAGACTCACGCCAGCGCAGCATCCCAGGCTTCGCTCGGCCAGTCGCTTCCACCTGCGCAGCCCTGTGAGCCAAACCTGGAGGCAGCCGGCCCTGGAAGGAGGGAGAGCCTGGTGAGCAGCGCTCAGGGCGCTTGTTTGCGGTATCTGTCCAGGCAGCCACCCTGAGCACGCATCGGCCCTGGCGGCCTCTTTTAAAAAGAAAAAGAAATGGCCCCAGCGCTACAGAGGCTCATATCTCTGGAGCCATTTTAAAGTAAGCCACCTGCACGCTCGCCCACTGCCCCCCCACTGCCCCCAGCCCCTGCAGCCCCTCCCCGGGCCTGCCAAAGCCAGCCTGGGCCCAGCCCACAGCCTGTCACAATGGGCCAGCAAGCCCCACAGCCTGCTGCAGCAGGGCTTGGCCCCACAGCCGGTCACGAGTGGGCCCCAACCCCGCAACCTGCAGGTTTTGGCCCCCCAGCCTGTCACAACAGGGCACCAGACCTACAGCCTGTCACAAGCGGGAGGGACCCAACCCCACAGCCTGTCACAGGCAGGGTTTGGCCCCCCAGCCTGTCACAAGTGGGCTCCAGCCCCACAGCCTGCTGCAAGCAGGGCCTGGGCCCCCACCCTAGC